CTATAAAAGAATTTAAATAAAAAATAAGATATACCTTAAAAGCAAATATATAATATACAAAATAAGGTACTAGCTGGGAACAACTATTCGTTTTGTGACACTCAGAAGGCACTAATCAAAAATATTTTAACAACCCGAAGAATAGTAGCTAAAAATTTAATTAAAATTGATTAATACATTCTATCAAAGCTTAAAAATAGCAATATTAAATTGACATTTATTTTTTGGGCCTATCTGTCCTGAAGATATGATAAGGTATTAATATTATATATAGTAATAAAATTAAATTCTCTCTAGAAACGTTTCATAAAATAATTAATTTGAGTTAGAAGCAAATACCTTAAAGACACTTGTTTAAAAAGATTTAAACAGCCTTACAAAATGATAATTTAACTAATGCTAAATGAACGATTTAATGAGATACAAATGTATATCCAAGTTGATGCACTCTTCGGTGCACCTTCTTTGCACATGAAGCCAAGAAGTTAAGAAGTCATTTTGCATTTACTACAACATAAAAATCTAATCGACTAGTCTTCCCGTGCCATGTACAAACAAACACTTTATAATGAATTGTCAGACAAGAACTAAAGCTTATTTGTGAAGCATATTTTTCCTATTTTTATTACTCGATGCAGGTTATTGCAGGCACGCCCTATCTAGAAATGCTGAAATGTCTGATTCTTGCTCCGTTAAACGTTAATCAAAACCAACAATTTCAGGAAACTCTGTCTGCAAATGACCCAGTGAAGCTGTGCCTAAATGGTTGCCAAATAATTGAGGATCAAAACGCCAATTTGGCAGGCGACTCAGAAACAGTGGATACCAAAGAGTGGGCAAAAGGGATAAGCTGGTCCAGGCCTGTGCAATATGAACTACAGTTAACTGCCTTGAAGGCTGTTACACGAATGGTGGGCCGAATCTTTACCTGGCAGGCGATAAATGGACGAAAGATACATTCGGAGTCGGAAACAAAAAGTTGGTGGTTGGAAGAAAAAGAATTGCTCGAAGCCAGTGCTTGGTCGGAGGTTATGAATTTACTCTTGGACTGGGCATGTGAGAACAGTGAGTTTTTTTCAAGTGTGCATATTTCGCTAAAAATTCCCTTGCCATTAAGAGGTCAAAAGAATACTTTAACACAAGTGAATTCCATACACACAAGCTTCTACTACTGAGATTGCCAGTTTGTCCACCAACGATAAAACGAAATGTGAGAACTTAACTAACCTAGGTCTTATCATCAATTGGGACAAATAAAAATTCAATTTAATTCACTTCACTTCATTAGACAGAGAGTTTCTATATTTTAATTAATTAGGCTTTTCATTATATTTAATTGGGGGCCGAAGAGGGATGGTCATGAATTTGTACATCTTGATTTGTTTGGGCAGTACCGAGTTTATTCTGTTTTGACGTGAAAGTCGTTAATAATTAAACAATTTCTTAACAAAAAACTCGCAAAGCACTACATCAAGAAAGTAGACCAGCTCCAAAACCACACGATTGTTATTCGATTAGATCTTAGGCATCCCAAATCGCCTAAAGTGATTTCAAGACGGACAACAGGTTTTTTCCCATCGTGATACAACAAGGCCTCATAATACCATAGAAATTTCCTTAGGGTTGCTCCTTCAATCTAGACGATAGTCTTGACTTTATCTTTCATGGGGATTCGATATCGGGTCTTATGACTCATTTGGACAGGATACCACTACGCTACACAGCAACGGGTGCCTTTGGGTCAGAGATAGGCCGGGCCTTTTGCAACTCGCATTCATAGTGGGATTGCTGACGGGGCAAACATGAATTTGACAACATTGCTTATGGTTTGCGATAAGAGAGGACAGCTATCCGAGGCGTCCATTGTCATC